GCTCATTCCACTCATGCGCACACAACGCCAATGTGGCTCATCCGCAAGCCTCTTGGTGAGGAAGTCTGCTGGCTGCTGGTGAGTCTTGATGTAGATCGGATTCACCGTCCCCCTCTTCACCTCCTTACGCAGCCAGTGCCACTTGATACGCATGTGCTTGTTCAGCCCATGAAGCACAGCGTTCCTGGCCATCCCAAGAGCCCCCTTGCTATCACAAAACAGCGGCGTAGCAACCTTCTGCTCCTGGCCAATCTCCTCTAACAGCCTCCTCAGCCAAATCACTTCCTTCACCCCATGGAACATCGCCATGTACTCTGATTCCACGGAAGAGAGTGCCGTCTCCGTCTGCTTCTTTGACCTCCAACTAACAGGTCCTCCCCCAACTACACAGATGTATCCTCCCACAGATGAGGAATCCTCCATCTCAGAGGCCCACGTAGCATCAGTAAAGCAAGTGAGAAACAGCTTGCCTTCTCCAAGCCGCTCCCCCTTCTCTTTCAGCACCTCAACCCCTTTCTGCTTCACCTGTGCAGATGCGGAGTATTGAACTCCAATGCTTGGGTGAGAGTTCAGATACTTCACCACACGCTCAGCTGCATCCACCTGCTCCTCTGATGGATTCTGTACCACCCTAGCCAGCTGCCCAACCGAGAAAGAGATGTCGGGCCTTGTGTGAACTGCTGCATACAAGAGGCTGCCCACCAAGGACTGAAATTGCTGCTGCTCCTCGGCTTCAACCCCTTCATCCTCTGCAGCTTTCACAAGCTTGAATTCTGCTGGCAGGGGAGTTGCAACTTTGCGCTCATTCTCAATCCCATACTTCTCCCCCAGCTCTTTGATGAACTTCTCCTGGTGCAGCTTCAACCACCTGTGATCCAGATCCCTCTCCACGTGCATCCCGAGATAGTACTTTACCTCCCCAAGGTTCTTGCACTTGAAGTTCTCCATCGGCTGCTGCTGCACATTCTGGATCTCCTTCATGCTGCTGCTAAAGAGAAGAATGTCGTCCACATAGACCAGAAACAGCACCAGCTTCTCCCCCTCCCCCTTGAGAAAGAGGCTCTCATCACAGCTGCTGGTCCTGAATCCCATCTCCTCTAAAACAGCTGCCAACTTCTGGTACCAGCAGCGTGGCGCCTGCTTCAAGCCGTAGATGGACTTTTTCAGCTTGCACACCCTGCCCGTACCATCCTCATACCCAGGCGGCTGCGTCATGTACACATCCTCCTCTAAAATCCCATTGAGGAATGCCGTTGATATATCCATCTGAATGATGAATTTCCCACTAACGGTTGCATCTGCCAACAAGACACGAAGGGTAGGGGGTTTGGCAGTGGGAGCAAAAATCTCATTGAAGTCCCGCTTCTCCTTCTGCATAAACCCCTTAGCCACAAGCCTACTCTTGTAGATGGTGACCCGTCCCTTGTCATCGGTCTTGATCCTTAGCACCCACTTGCACTGTACAGCTTTCTTCCCATCGGGCAGCACCACCAGATCCCATGTCCCATTCTCTAGTAGGCTCTGGTACTCAGCATCCCTAGAAACCAGCCACATCTCCCTATCTGGTCCAGCTAATGCCTCCTCCATGCTAGCTGGTTCCTCTGGTGCAGGGACAAGAAAACAGTAGGCAGGTTCATCCTCCTCATCCGGGTCATAGCCATGAGGTAGAATCAGCAATGCCTCCTCTGTCCCAAGCTGCTGTTCTGCTACATCAGCTCCTGTAGTCAATTTCTTAGTAGCCATACGTGTACGTCCTGGCCTGGTGACGGGTGTCTCCCATCCCTTCATAACAACACCCTTCGGCTTCTTAGTTTTCCCCTGCTGCTGCTCTCCTCCCTCGGATCCAGCAGCTCCACTAGTGCTAGTCTCCACATCATTTTCTCCACCAGCAGATGCCTCCTGTACCTTCTCTCCATCACCACCCTCTGCAGCTACCTGCTCTCCCTCCTCCCACACACTTAGAGTCAGGTCCAGCTGCATGGTGATCTGCTCCATTTGCTGGGACACCCTGGCCTCCGGCTGTTTCTCCCAGCTCCCATACATCATGCCCTCAACAAACTTCACATCCCTGCTGTCAAACAACACACCCTTGGATGGTTCCCACAGCAGCCATCCCTTGCTCTCAGCAGCCAGCCCCAAATGCACACACCAGATTGCACTTGCCCCCAACTTACTGCGGTAGGTCTTGGGGACGTGGGCGACTGCCATGCAACCGAACACCCTCAGCATGTCCACTGGCGGCTTCCTCCCAAGCCACCTCTCCAACGGCACCCACGAGTCATCCCCAACCTTTGTGAGTACCCTGTTCCTAGCGACGGTAGCGTGCCGAACAGCATGGGGCCACATCGAGTTGCCCAGCCCAGATTCTATGAGCAGCGCCCTAGCTGTCTCCAGAATTGTCCGGTTCGCCCGTTCTGCTACACCGTTAGACTGTGGGGTGTAAGCCGTGGTCAGCTCCCTCTGGATGCCCTGCTTCTTGAGCCAGGCCGTCATCTCAGCTCCAAGGAACTCACCACCCCGATCTGTCCTAATCCGCTTCACCACACATTCCGCTTGCTTCTCCACGAATGGCAGCCAATCATCCCGTATCGTAGAGGCGGCGTGGTCCTTTTGCTTCAGCGGATATGCCCACATAAGCCTGCTCCAATCATCCACTATGGTCAGAAAGTACCGCTCCCCCTTGTGCCCCTGAACCGGCAGCGGCCCCACCAAGTCCATGTGGACCAGCTCCAATGGCTTCTTGCTCCTGCCAGCCACACTATGGAAGGGGAAACGGGTAAACTTTGAGAGCAAACAGATTTCACAATTCTCATCAGGTGGCTGTCCGTTCAGCTTCAGACCCTTAACGGCTCCATCTTTCTCCAACTGCTTCAACAAGGGCATTGCCACATGCCCCAAGCGTCGGTGTGCCGTTGCCCAATCCGTCTCCCCAGATCTGGCCGACACTTTCACACCAACCCCTCCAACGGCGTTGCACTCCCCCTGGGATGCAGACCCCTCTCTAGCCTGCCCCCCATCGTGCCACGCCAACGCCGGCAGCTGCCACATGGATCTGTACACGTCCTTGCTCTCGTGCAAATCCCAAAGCACCCGATTGCCCAGCTGCCCCTTGTAAGTGCGTGCCCCATCCGTGCTAGTGCTCACCCCAGCCTTGGCAAGCTTACGGAGGGAGATGAGGTTGGCCTTGAGTTCAGGAACGAGGAGAACGTCGTGCAGCACCACCGGCTTGCCATCCGCTCCCTTAAACGCAGCTCGTCCCGCACCAGCCACCTTCAGCGCGTGTCCAGAGGCGGAGCACACCTCGTTGATCGGTGCAGCTCGTACGTGGTCCAGCAGGTCCTTGCGCGGCGTCATCGTCCAAGCAGCGCCCGTGTCCAACACCCAATAGTCCAGAGGGTGCAGCTCTGCTCTAACCTTGGCAGATACGTCTCCTTGCTCCCTCTGTTCTCCAATATGGAAGAACTGGCCTGCGGTGCGCTCCTTCTTCTTTTCCGCACCGCCGTTGCTCTTCGGGTTGTTGTCGGACGAATCGGCGACCATTCTCGCGCCGTTTTTGTTGGGTGCAAATTCACATTGCACGACATCCTGCCGTCTGTTTGTACGAGTATGCGTGTGCGAATGCATTTGGGTGTGAATGGAATGTTCGTGTGTTTGTTTGCTTTCGCAATTTTCGCTTAAAGCATTTGCAGGTACTCGCGCATTGTGCGCTTTGGCACAACATTGTACGCGCTATGAACAGTACAAGCTGAAAGGACGAGCTCGCAAAGGAACCCAAGATGGAAGCTTTGCGGTTCGGTTGAATTGATTGTGCAGATTCAGTTCTATCCAACTCGAAATTGTACTGTTTGGTTTGATTCACTATAGTGTAGAAGGGCAGGCACTATAGGGGTACAATTTAGGTGAAGGTTGGATGTTGTTTGTCTGTATCTGCATGCTACAGGGCCAGGGGAAACCAGCGGAACCAGTTTTTGGTTGGTTGGGCAAAGACGAAACAGGTTCTGTTTTTAGGACCTGAACCTGGTTGTTGTTTTCCCAGGTTGGAAAAACAGAACCAGAGGTTGTTTACCAACCTACCACCTGCTGTTTTGTCTAGCCAGGTTGGTTCTGTTGCTTGGAATTATTTGGGATCATCCCTGGTTGTTCCCAGGTTCATTCCCAAGGTCCTTGCTAGCTAGAACTATTTATTCCTTCTCTGTTTGCTCACAGGTGTTGAAATTGGCGGGGGAGAGGTGTACCTCCAAATTCGCGGCGCCAGGCATGACTTTCAAACGGTCAGTCAAAGTTCGACCAGCCCTGAAAGCCTCCACCCATTGGGTTCGTCGTGAGCACTTGCTTTATCGGCCACCACGTAACACGTTATGGTAACCGCTAGAGCTGCGAGATTACAGCAAGAATAAATCGTGCGTGAAGAAGTTGGAGATCGTCCTTCGAACAGCGTTTTACATTGAATAGTTTGCCTGACGAATTACCTGCGAAAGTCCAACATTGTTATACAGCTAATGCTCGTTAGAGCCCCTCCCGGTTGCCTTGTGAAGGGGGTCTGTATGCTAAACCGACATTTCGTAGGGTGTTCGTCCGTTTTGTCAGGCTTTATGCGTGCTTCTAAACCGAACATGGTAACCACCCAATTTGTCTGTTTCGCAATAGTAATGGTTGGCACTCCTTGTCATTGATGTGCGTTACTGGTTACTTCAGCGAATGCCAGAACAATGAACCAAGCAGCCTCAACAAATGTTCAACTTAGATTGAAACATTGAACCACAAAACATAACCAATCAGCATCTCTCACCTGGGCCCCCAACTCCAATCTCCACAAATGTTGAAACACGCACAAATGTGCACAAGGAGTGAACACCTCCCTCACAGCAAAATGCCTTCGGCGCCTGGCCGGGTGGGCTCAAATTTCACTCACAGGCGTATCCATTGCGCCTCGTCAACATACCCGTCCATCACGGCGCCAACACCGGCGTCCAGCAGCTGCTGACGGCGGGACGGCTGAGTCATCCAGCTGGGCAGCACTCGGCCGCGCGGCGGGTATCGGGCGTGGGGATTGCGGCCGGGGTGGGCACGGCCGGAGGGGCCACGTTGAGATTAATGGCCGGGCTTGCCTGCTCCATCCGCGCGATAATAATCGGGTTGCGGATGTCGAACAGGTGGCAGAGGTCGCGCGGCGTGATGAAGGTGGCGCGAACATAGCCGATGAGCATCTCGCAGGCCGCCCGGGCGGTGCGCCGCGCCTCACGGCCCACTGGGTCGGCATCGTCGTACACGGCCTGCATGGTGGTCGGCGCCTCCCAAAGCTCCACCACCAGGCCCGCTTCCGGCTCCTGAGTCGTCTGGTCCGCCGCTTGCGCGGCGCACGTCGGCTCACCATCGTCGATGGCGACGTACTCGGCCGCGGTCATCGTGCCATGCCCGAGCCCGAGCCCACTAATGAGCGTGCTGACGTCGTCTATGTCGTCGTCGAGCTCGATGTCGGGATAGACGGGCGGCGTGGGCTCGTCGTCGTGAACGTGGGTCAACTCCATGGACCACGACAGTGGCAGACATCCCGTGCGCCACCAGCATCGCTGAATGGTGCGCGCTCCAACGCTCGTCCACGCGTCCAACAACCACCCCAACACGTCGCGTAGGTTCGGACAAAACCGCGCGACAGCGCTTGTCGCGTCGTCCGCGTTCCACAGAGCCGTGAAGGCCCGCAACTAGTGCTGGCGGTAGCGGGCCTTGGCGGTGGCAATGATGCCCTGGTCAAGGGGCTGGGTGAAGGAAATGGTGTTCGGCGGCAGGAAGACGAGACGGACATTGCTCATGCAAGTCGTCCTCATGCCGCAAACGATCTCGCTCCACGCGTGCTCGCTCCGTAGCATGTGCGAGCTCGCGTTACCGAGTAACACGACGATCCGCCGTCCCTCCGCATACATGGCAGCGTTGAGCTGCGAGATGAAGTGAGTGAACAACTGGGAGCAGGGAAGGGCGGGAAGGGGATAGTGCACGGACGTGGAAGATATAAACAGCGCATTTCAAAAAATAGCACCACCTCGCACATTCAAACACATTTTTAAATATCACTGGTGACGTCATCCACCCTTTGGCGTTGTGACGCCAATAGCAGAGGGCCTCGGGATCGTAGTCCGTGCGGAAATCGTGCGGGCGCCTCGCCTTGCTGATGACAAGCGGGCGGAACGCGTGGCTCCCGTCCGCATTGACGAGGAACGCCACGGTGAGGCGTTCCTTCGACACCTTGCGCCCAAGAAGACGCCCATTACTGTACGTCCGACGCGGCAACACGGACAACCAGAGGGCGGTTTCGTACAGGTTGAACGTGTCGCGCGGACTGACCCCCAGGTGCATAAGCAGTTGCGGGCGTCGCGCACAGCGGCCATGTCCGCGCTGGCCGCCTCGCCGGCTGTTGCACGGCACCTCACCCCCTGGCGCCTCAACGCACGGCGCACCCAGCCGATGGAGCAACGAAATGTGGGCGGAATGCCCATGTTCCGCGCCATGGTCGCGACATGGTCGCGGATGGTTTGCAGCGTCAGCGGAACGCCAGCGGGCCCGGCGTTTGCGATCCACCGCGCCATGGCCTGCTCCAGCTCAGGCCATGCGCCTCCCCGCCGACGGACTTGGTTGTCCCCGGTCGCCACGACAGCCCAGTGCTCGGAACTTTTCAAAATGCGCCCGACAGTTGAGCGGTCCGGGCGAAGTCCATATTGGGAATAGCATAGCCAATGAGCATCTCGCAGGCCGCCCGGGCGGTGCGCCGCGCCTCACGTCCCACTGGGTCGGCGTCGTCGTACACGGCCTGCATGGTGGTCGGCGCCTCCCAAAGCTCCACCACCAGGCCCGCTTCCGGCTCCTGAGTCGTCTGGTCCGCTGCGTGCGCGGCGCACGTCGGCTCACCGTCGTCGATGGCGACGTACTCGGCCGCAGTCATCGTGCCATGCTCGAGCCCGAGCCCACTAATGAGCGTGCTGATGTCGTATATGTCGTCGTCGAGCTCGATGTCGGGATAGACGGGCGGGGTGGGCTCGTCGTCGTGAACGTGGGTCAACTCCATGGACCACGACAGTGGCAGACATCCCGTGCGCCACCAGCACCGCTGAATGGTGCGCGCTCCAACGCTCGTCCACGCGTCCAACAACCACCCCAACACGTCGTGTAGGTTCGGACAAAACCGCGCGACAGCGCTTGTCGCGTCGTCCGCGTTCCACAGAGCCGTGAAGGCCCGCAACTAGTGCTGGCGGTAGCGGGCCTTGGCGGTGGCAATGATGCCCTGGTCAAGGGGCTGGGTGAAGGAAATGGTGTTCGGCGGCAGGAAGACGAGACGGACATTGCTCATGCAAGTCGTCCTCATGCCGCAAACGATCTCGCTCCACGCGTGCTCGCTCCGTAGCATGTGCGAGCTCGCGTTACCGAGTAACACGACGATCCGCCGTCCCTCCGCATACATGGCAGCGTTGAGCTGCGAGATGAAGTGAGTGAACAACTGGGAGCAGGGAAGGGCGGGAAGGGGATAGTGCACGGACGTGGAAGATATAAACCGCGCATTTCAAAAAATCGCACCACCTCGCACATTCAAACACATTTTTAAATATCACTGGTGACGTCATCCACCCTTTGGCGTTGTGACGCCAATAGCAGAGGGCCTCGGGATCGTAGTCCGTGCGGAAATCGTGCGGGCGCCTCGCCTTGCTGATGACAAGCGGGCGGAACGCGTGGCTCCCGTCCGCATTGACGAGGAACGCCACGGTGAGGCGTTCCTTCGACACCTTGCGCCCAAGAAGACGCCCATTACTGTACGTCCGACGCGGCAACACGGACAACCAGAGGGCGGTTTCGTCCAGGTTGAACGTGTCGCGCGGACTGACCCCCAGGTGCATAAGCAGTTGCGGGCGTCGCGCACAGAGGCCATGTCCGCGCTGGCCGCCTCGCCGGCTGTTGCACGGCACCTCACCTCCTGGCGCCTCAACGCACGGCGCACCCAGCCGATGGAGCAACGAAATGTGGGCGAAATGCCCATGTTCCGCGCCATGGTCGTGACATGGTCGCGGATGGTTTGCAGCGTCAGCGGAACGCCAGCGGGCCCGGCGTTTGCGATCCACCGCGCCATGGCCTGCTCCAGCTCAGGCCATGCGCCTCCCCGCCGACGGACTTGGTTGTCCCCGGTCGTCACGACAGCCCAGTGCTCGGAACTTTTCAAAATGCGCCCGACAGTTGAGCGGTCCGGGCGAAGTCCATATTGGGAATAGCATAGCCAATGAGCATCTCGCAGGCCGCCCGGGCGGTGCGCCGCGCCTCACGGCCCACTGGGTCGGCGTCGTCGTACACGGCCTGCATGGTGGTCGGCGCCTCCCAAAGCTCCACCACCAGGCCCGCTTCCGGCTCCTGCGTCGTCTGGTCCGCTGCGTGCGCGGCGCACGTCGGCTCACCGTCGTCGATGGCGACGTACTCGGCCGCGGTCATCGTGCCATGCTCGAGCCCGAGCCCACTAATGAGCGTGCTGACGTCGTATATATCGTCGTCGAGCTCGATGTCGGGATAGACGGGCGGGGTGGGCTCGTCGTCGTGAACGTGGGTCAACTCCATGGACCACGACAGTGGCAGACATCCCGTGCGCCACCAGCACCGCTGAATGGTGCGCGCTCCAACGCTCGTCCACGCGTCCGACAGCCACCCCAACACGTCGCGTAGGTTCGGACGAAACCGCGCGACAGCGCTTGTCGCGTCGTCCGCGTTCCACAGAGCCGTGAAGGCCCGCAACTAGTGCTGGCGGTAGCGGGCCTTGGCGGTGGCAATGATGCCCTGGTCAAGGGGCTTTGTGAAGGAAATGGTGTTCGGCGGCAGGAAGACGAGACGGACATTGCTTATGCAAGTCGTCCTCATGCCGCAAACGATCTCGCTCCACGCATGCTCGCTCCGTAGCATGTGCGAACTTGCGTTATCGAGTAACACGACGATCCGCCGTCCCTCCGCATACATGGCAGCGTTGAGCTGCGAGATGAAGTGAGTGAACAACTGGGAGCGGGGAAGGGCGGGAAGGGGATAGTGCACGGACGTGGAAGATATAAACCGCGCATTTCAAAAAATCGGGCGCCTCGCCTTGCTGATGACAAGCGGGCGGAACGCGTGGCTCCCGTCCGCATTGACGAGGAACGCCACGGTGAGGCGTTCCTTCGACACCTTGCGCCCAAGAAGACGCCCACTACTGTACGTCCGCCGCGGCAACACGGACAACCAGAGGGCGGTTTCGTCCAGGTTGAACGTGTCGCGCGGACTGACCCCCAGGTGCATAAGCAGTTGCGGGCGTCGCGCACAGCGGCCATGTCCGCGCTGGCCGCCTCGCCGGCTGTTGCACGGCACCTCACCCCCTGGCGCCTCAACGCACGGCGCACCCAGCCGATGGAGCAATGAAATGTGGGCGGAATGCCCATGTTCCGCGCCATGGTCGCGACATAGTCGCGGATGGTTTGCAGCGTCAGCGGAACGCCAGCGGGCCCGGCGTTTGCGATCCACCGCGCCATGGCCTGCTCCAGCTCAGGCCATGCGCCTCCCCGCCGACGGACTTGGTTGTCCCAGGTCACCACGACAGCCCGGTGCTCGGAACTTTTCAAAATACGCCCGACAGTTGAGCGGTCCGGGCGAAGTCCATACTGGGAATAGCACCACCTCGCCAGGTCAACGTGACGCAGGCGAGGGTTCTCTACGTGATGCGCGCATATCGTGCGCTTAATGTGAAGCGGCACCTACTCACGGCGGTAGAAACGAGGCATGGTGAGAGACGGGGGTGTGTGAAGACGATGCATAAGTGGATTGGTTGGGTTCAATTTAACTTGGGATGGCGTGCGTGCTGAGTCTCTGGTGGGGCCAGTTCTGGGTGGCTGTTCCTAGTCGTGGAGGCAGTGGTGTTGGTTCGTCTTGAAGGACCGAAAGTTTTTTTGGTAACCACACGATAGAATGTCTGACGTGGTGTGCCCAGCGTGATGCCTGGCTGCTAATGCGCTTGTACCCCACAATTGCAGACTACACGTGGCAGTGTGAACCTGCCCAAATGTCTGTTACATGCACCATGAAGCTCTCTTAGGTGGCATGGCAGTCAGGCGAATGCATTCACGAAACCACTCACGTTTCGTCCATACATTTCGCCTGTCTGACTTCTAGCCTAGGAACAAGGCAAACCAGGGTCGGCCTGCCTTGTTCGGGACTGCACGTGCGTAGGTGGCCGAAGCGCGTGTACTGTTGCCAGCCATCCAGGTGCCTGAAATGTGGGAGCAACAAGCAGGGGTTGCAAGCTCGGGTGCAGCGTTTCAATCCAGTGCAAGGCAAATTCGCGTGCACTGGTTGGGCATCAATTGTACCACGCGTCACTGATCTTGACGAAATGAGTAATTTTGACGTTGCTAGTGATTCCCCTTTTTGACAACTACGGCCCTCTTCAAGAAGATGCGCACCCTCTGTCACAGAAACCAGCGATACTTTGCCCGTCATGTGGAGGAAAGAAGCAGTGCATGGGCGGTGAACGTTGTCACGTACAGCATCTCAACTTCGGATTCCAGCAGCAATGGCCTCCTCCGAACCGAACTCACCAGCAGCAATGGACTCCTCCTCTTTCTCTCATTCCGAAGGCTTCGACCATACTAGTGGTTGTTGCCCACGAAACGAGCAGGAAAAACGGGCATATAACACCACGTTTCGCATTTCCACTGCGCTTGCGTAGCTGCATCGAAGCCTTTCCTAGTAGTACCGTCTTCTCCAGTAGTTGTGCCGACGGAAGCAGTGGTTCTACGATCTTCACTAGACCCAGCGATAGTCTACTGATAATGGGAGCGGCGGTCGCAATGGCGACCCGGAAGCATCATGATGTGGCTCGTGGCAACGGTCGCCGTGCTCGCGGTGCTGTCCAGCTGCTACCTCCACGGCGTCGATAGTAGCGTCACCATGCAGGCCGATCAAGGTGCAAGCCATAGCCACTCACGTGCCACCCTCACCGGTCTAGTAGTAGAACATCATGACACGCCAGTGTCACATTTTTAGAGAAGTTCTCTCTACTTGCTGCATTCTACAGTAATAAATAACTGATCACAACAACACGCTGAGCAATGATCCCGTCGCTCAGCATGAGGTTGTTGTGATCAGTTTTAACGCCGCGACGCATCAAACCGTCGCTCTGGTACAATGCGCCGCCTACGATTACAACACTACCTGACCCGCCCCTTACAACTGTCTACTAGAATAACCCATCATGGGGTCAGAGTCTGGGGTTCGAAACCCGACTGTTTCACACACACTGAGTGGTAGTAGAAGTCGAGTTTCGAATCAAACGAACGATTCACTGCTGGCCCCTCATGCCCAGCGACATCAAGGTCACCTCGGGAGCCGACTCCTTTAAGTTCCTGAATAAACGAGGTTGATGGCGCCAAGGGCTTTGCACGTGCTTTTGGGGTTACAAAAAGCTATCGGTGTGGCTCTGAATACCCCCCGGTTCGACTCAGTGGTCTATCCGGCCACTTGGTGTTATAACCATTAAATAACACGGTGTTTTACTCAACCACCTTCTCCCACCATTTTTTGAACAATGGGTTTGCCACATCGCTCTGGATATTCCCTGTTTTCCGGCACGAAGTGTTCCATTTTGACGCCATTTCCTTCCACCGTTCAGGCCGCGGCTGAACTACCATCAAAGCCGCAGCAGCCGCGTACATATCTTGCACGCAAGCGTGGGAAGCTCATTCTCTCGTATCCGTGTCCTCCCTCTCCTCTTCCCTCTTCCCTGCGGCCATCAGCAACGGTGATGCTGAACATCAAGGCGGCGATGGGCATCACCTTCACCACGTGGAGCATGGCCAATCTGTGCCGCCTTGACGGCACCACTGCAGTCGCTAGCGACTGGACTGGCGTCATCTGTGGCAGCACCGGCATGGTCGTCAACATGTGAGTCCACGGTGCGCTCTTGGTTTCGTATGCCCGGGAAGGATCAATCCGCCGCGGTGAGTGAAGCCTCGTCAGCATGGCCTGGAAGGCATTTACTGCATCTCTCCATCGGCAAGGCATCTGAGAGCGTCGTGACACTGGTTGCATGTATATATTCTGGTTCTGTTGTTTTTTTCGCGGTTGTTTTGATGACGATTCCGCACATTACATCATCGTACACTTTTTTGCGACGTGCCGCACGCAACCACGCTCATCTGCCCATCTGCCGTTGTGTGTGACCCCCCACCGCTTTGCCACACACTGTTGTGCATCAGAGTTGTGAATACCGCAAACCTCAAGGCCATGCTTCCTTCGGACGTCTCCACGCTCACTGCCCTCACGCGCCTGTGAGTTGCACTTTCCTGCGGTGCCGTGACAACTCTCTATCTGTTTCAGCATCAGTTCTTCCATCTGTACGACTGCCTGCCTGCTCTTGCACCGTTTCTGTTGTGGTCCCATGCAGTAAGTGCCCATGGTGATCTCCATCCATCAAGTGCTGTGCTGTGCCTAGGCGCGCGCACCATGATGCATGCGGCACTTTTGACATTGGCATTCTACCGATGACCGTGTGTCCTCCACCCTCTTCTCTTCTCTTGTCTCGCCTCGTCTCGCAGCAACATGTGGAGCAACCTCTTCAACCATTGCCTCGATTCCTTCACCACGCACCTTCGAGCCTTGCCAGTGCTCGCCGACTTGTGAGTGACTCAATGAATGTGGCCAAGGGAAGGGGTGAGGGGAAGGGCGAGAGCATGATGGAATGGAACTGTCTTGTCTTTGTTTTTCCTCAGATTTTCTTCCGCAATTGTTCGCTCTCAGTCTCCCAACTTCTTGCCTCGTCATGCCTGCAGAATCTCTTCTTTTTTTTAGGCGCCTCAGTCGCCATGCATGCACGAGCCTTACCCTTTTCACGTGCTGCCTCCCATCCTCTCTGCTCCTCTCATCCTCTCTGCTCCTCTCATCGCCTCTCCTCCTCTCATCGTCTCTCCTCTCATCGCCTCTGCTCCTCTCATCGTCTGCTCCTCTCATCGTCTCATAGGCGTCTGCACTACAACTATTTCTACAGTGAAATCCCCTCCTATATCGTGGGCCTCCCGAAGATCATCGAGTTGTGAGTCTGCTGGGATGCGATGCGTAAGAGTCAACTGCAAGGCGCTCGGGGAAACCGTGCATGCGCCATATGGCAGTGTGCTGCTGGGATGGCAGTGTTCTGCTGGGATGGCAGTGTGCTGCTGGGATAGCAGTGTTCTGCTGGGATGGCAGTGTGCTGCTGGGATGGCAGTGTTCTGCTGGGATGGCAGTGTGCTGCTGGGATGGCAGGTCACCGTCTAGCCTGCTGGGATGGCAGGTCACCGTCTAGCCTGTTGGGATGGCAGGTCACCGTCTAGCCTGCTGGGATGGCAGGTCACCGTCTAGCTTGCTGGGATGGCAGGTCACCGTCTAGCCTGCTGGGATGGCAGGTCACCGTCTAGCCTGCTGGGATGGCAGGTCACCGTCTAGCCTGCTGGGATGGCAGGTCTAGCCTGCTGGGATGGCAGGTCCTAGCCTGCTGGGATGGCAGGTCACCGTCTAGCCTGCTGGGATGGCAGGTCACCGTCTAGCCTGCTGGGGATGTCATGCATGCACCATGTAGCTGCGTGTTGCGTTCATCGATCCCCTCTCCCGCTGCGCCGTCTTGTCTGGCTGCTCACTCCTTATACCGCCCCTCGTCTCCCTCCCCTCCCCTTCCCCCCCCCCCCCTCCATTCTCCCCCGTCACCAGTGGCGCTGCCGGCAACTACCTCACGGGCTCTGTGCCTGTGCTGGGCCCCTTGCTGATCAGGTTGGATCTGCGCACCAACTACCTCACGGACATGCCATCGGCGGCCTACCAGTGGTGTGGCACCACCGCCAACTGCCTCGTCGCGCCCATAAAGTGCACCACCAGCAGCACGGCCCAGCGGCCCGCATCGGAGTATGCCATCTGCGGCAGCACCAACTCGCAGGGCACTTTGTGCGCGTCCACGCCGGGAGGGGTGTGCTCAATGGATGCGGGCGCACGTGTGAGTGCCGGCACGGTGAACACGCTGGCGCTGGCGTATCTCCCCCTGACGTGCACGGTCGGGCCTCTCTACATGAACGCCGCTGACGGTCAGTGCTTGTGTTTTGAGTCGACTCAAATCACCCCCGCCGGCACTGTGAACACGATGGCGCTGCCGCATCTCCCCACCCCATGGCGTGCACGGCGGGGCCTCTCTACGTGAACGCCAGTGATGGCCAGTGCTCGTCATGTTTCGTCCCACGTGCTGGTGCTTCATCACATCCCTCCACCACCGTGCCCACAAACCTCCTTCTCTTGAAGTGTGGCGTTGCTGCTCTCAAGACATCCATGTGCATGCCAGCTGACCTCATCGGCAATGAGGTTGCGTTGCTGCTTGCGTTGCTGTGTGCGTTGCTGCGTGCGTTGGTGCTTGCGTTGCTGTGTGCGTTGCTGCGTGCGTTGGTGCTTGCGTTGTTGTGTGCGTTTCTGCATGCGTTTTCTGTGTGGTTTGCTGCGTGCGTTGCTGAGTGCTTTGCTGTGTGCGTTGCTGTGTGCGTAGCTGCGTGCGTTGCTGCGTGGGTTGCTTCGTGCGTTGCTGTGTGCGTAGCTGCGTGCGTTGCTGCGTGGGTTGCTTCGTGCGTTGCTGCGTGCGTTTCTGCGTGCGTTGCTGCGTGCGCTGCTACGTGCCCTGCTGCGCGCGTTGCTGCGCGCGTTGCTGCGCGCGTTGCTGCGCGCGTTGCTGCGTGCGTTGCTGCGTGCGTTGCTGCGTGCGATGCTGCATGGCATTGCTGCTTTCAAGGCATCCATGTGCGTGCGGGCTGACCTCAATGGCAATGTTGCTGCATTGCTGCGTGTGTGCATGCAGGTGGATGCCGTGGAACCTCCTGGATGGCAGCCTTGAGACCTATCTCAAAGACTTCTCCACGCTCACCAACTTGAACGCGCTGTCAGTATCACATCACTCACCCGCCATATTCACGGGCGTCTCATCTCCGCATGATGGGTGCCCCATGTCCCATGAGCACAGCACTACTTGCTCCAAAGCACATTGCATAGCGGTTGCATTTGAGGGTCACATCTCAGGCCATATGGTGCTAATGCTAACGCCCCACTACATGTGTCGCCCCTGTGTGCCGGTGTGTGCCATGCCGTGAGCGCAGCGCCATGCAGTACATGTTCTTCTCCGGCTCATTCCCCAGCTTGCTGCTCAATCTGCCCAGCCTCACCGCTGTGTAAGTCCACTCCACAATAGAGGCTCCTCCTTGCTCTGTCTGTAGAGACTATAGGCTGGCACGAACGTACCGCTGTGCTATCAGGAAGGGGTACCTGCTGCTGGCAGAGAAGCTCTTTGCATGTGCAGATTGGAAATCACGTTTGAGGATTCTCAAAAGTGATTTCCATGAAAGGATACCTGGTGTCAGAGCAGCTGTTTGCACGTGTTGTTTGCATGCCGCAACGCATTCCCAACCCGCAACCCCTAACTTTCTCCACCCAACATTCCTTCCTCTCCCACTCTGTCTCCCCCTCCCTCTACTTCCCCCCAATTCTCCCCTGTCCGCCCAATATCTTGAGTGACCTGCTGCTGCCTACATTAACTCCTCCCCGGCCATCAACCCCCCCTAACAATGCGTGCGTCCGCGGCCCACAGGGCTCTACGCGCCAACTATCTGATGGGCACGCTGCCAGCGAGCATCACGCGGATCAAGTCGCTGGACCTCACGCAGAACTACTTCGCCAGCTCGCTGCCCTCAGGCACCTGGTCAACTGCATGGGACACTCAGCTCCGCGTTGCATGTGGTCACTCAGCATCAGTTCTTCCATCTGTACGACTGCCTGCCTGCTCTTGCACCGTTTCTGTTGTGGTCCCATGCAGTAAGTGCCCATGGTGATCTCCATCCATCAAGTGCTGTGCTGTGCCTAGGCGCGCGCACCATGATGCATGCGGCACTTTTGGCATTGGCATTCTACCGATGACCGTGTGTCCTCCACCCTCTTCTCTTCTCTTGTCTCGCCTCGTCTCGCAGCAACATGTGGAGCAACCTCTTCAACCATTGCCTCGATTCCTTCACCACGCACCTTCGAGCCTTGCCAATGCTCGCCGACTTGTGAGTGACTCAATGAATGTGGCCAAGGGAAGGGGTGAGGGGAAGGGTGAGAGCATGATGGAATGGAACTGTCTTGTCTTTGTTTTTCCTCAGATTTTCTTCCGCAATTGTTCGCTCTCAGTCTCCCAACTTCTTGCCTCGTCATGCCTGCAGAATCTCTTCTTTTTTTTAGGCGCCTCAGTCGCCATGCATGCACGAGCCTTACCCTTTTCACGTGCTGCCTCCCATCCTCTCTGCTCCTCTCATCCTCTCTGCTCCTCTCATCGCCTCTCCTCCTCTCATCGTCTCTCCTCTCATCGCCTCTGCTCCTCTCATCGTCTGCTCCTCTCATCGTCTCATAGGCGTCTGCACTACAACTATTTCTACAGTGAAATCCCCTCCTATATCGTGGGCCTCCCGAAGATCATCGAGTTGTGAGTCTGCTGGGATGCGATGCGTAAGAGTCAACTGCAAGGCGCTCGGGGAAACCGTGCATGCGCCATATGGCAGTGTGCTGCTGGGATGGCAGTGTTCTGCTGGGATGGCAGTGTGCTGCTGGGATGGCAGTGTTCTGCTGGGATGGCAGTGTGCTGCTGGGATGGCAGTGTTCTGCTGGGATGGCAGTGTGCTGCTGGGATGGCAGGTCACCGTCTAGCCTGCTGGGATGGCAGGTCACCGTCTAGCCTGTTGGGATGGCAGGTCACCGTCTAGCCTGCTGGGATGGCAGGTCACCGTCTAGCTTGCTGGGATGGCAGGTCACCGTCTAGCCTGCTGGGATGGCAGGTCACCGTCTAGCCTGCTGGGATGGCAGGTCACCGTCTAGCCTGCTGGGATGGCAGGTCACCGTCTAGCCTGCTGGGATGGCAGGTCACCGTCTAGCCTGCTGGGATGGCAGGTCACCGTCTAGCCTGCTGGGGATGTCATGCATGCACCATGTAGCTGCGTGTTGCGTTCATCGATCCCCTCTCCCGCTGCGCCGTCTTGTCTGGCTGCTCACTCCTTATACCGCCCCTCGTCTCCCTCCCCTCCCCTTCCCCCCCCCCTCTCCATTCTCCCCCGTCACCAGTGGCGCTGCCGGCAACTACCTCACGGGCTCTGTGCCTGCGCTGGGCCCCTTGCTGATCAGGTTGGATCTGCGCACCAACTACCTCACGGACATGCCATCGGCGGCCTACCAGTGGTGTGGCACCACCGCCAACTGCCTCGTCGCGCCCATAAAGTGCACCACCAGCAGCACGGCCCAGCGGCCCGCATCGGAGTATGCCATCTGCGGCAGCACCAACTCGCAGGGCACTTTGTGCGCGTCCACGCCGGGAGGGGTGTGCTCAATGGATGCGGGCGCACGTGTGAGTGCCGGCACGGTGAACACGCTGGCGCTGGCGTATCTCCCCCTGGCGTGCACGGTCGGGCCTCTCTACATGAACGCCGCTGACGGTCAGTGCTTGTGTTTTGAGTCGACTCAAATCACCCCCGCCGGCACTGTGAACACGATGGCGCTGCCGCATCTCCCCACCCCATGGCGTGCACGGCGGGGCCTCTCTACGTGAACGCCAGTGATGGCCAGTGCTCGTCATGTTTCGTCCCACGTGCTGGTGCTTCATCACATCCCTCCACCACCGTGCCCACAAACCTCCTTCTCTTGAAGTGTGGCGTTGCTGCTCTCAAGACATCCATGTGCATGCCAGCTGACCTCATCGGCAATGAGGTTGCGTTGCTGCTTGCGTTGCTGTGTGCGTTGCTGCGTGCGTTGGTGCTTGCGTTGCTGTGTGCGTTGCTGCGTGCGTTGGTGCTTGCGTTGTTGTGTGCGTTTCTGCATGCGTTTTCTGTGTGGTTTGCTGCGTGCGTTGCTGAGTGCTTTGCTGTGTGCGTTGCTGTGTGCGTAGCTGCGTGCGTTGCTGCGTGGGTTGCTTCGTGCGTTGCTGTGTGCGTAGCTGCGTGCGTTGCTGCGTGGGTTGCTTCGTGCGTTGCTGCGTGCGTTTCTGCGTGCGTTGCTGCGTGCGCTGCTACGTGCGCTGCTGCGCGCGTTGCTGCGCGCGTTGCTGCGCGCGTTGCTGCGCGCGTTGCTGCGTGCGTTGCTGCGTGCGTTGCTGCGTGCGATGCTGCATGGCATTGCTGCTCTCAAGGCATCCATGTGCGTGCGGGCTGACCTCAATGGCAATGTTGCTGCATTGCTGCGTGTGTGCATGCAGGTGGATGCCGTGGAACCTCCTGGATGGCAGCCTTGAGACCTATCTCAAAGACTTCTCCACGCTCACCAACTTGAACGCGCTGTCAGTATCACATCACTCACCCGCCATATTCACGGGCGTCTCATCTCCGCATGATGGGTGCCCCATGTCCCATGAGCACAGCACTACTTGCTCCAAAGCACATTGCATAGCGGTTGCATTTGAGGGTCACATCTCAGGCCATATGGTGCTAATGCTAACGCCCCACTACATGTGTCGCCCCTGTGTGCCGGTGTGTGCCATGCCGTGAGCGCAGCGCCATGCAGTACATGTTCTTCTCCGGCTCATTCCCCAGCTTGCTGCTCAATCTGCCCAGCCTCACCGCTGTGTAAGTCCACTCCACAATAGAGGCTCCTCCTTGCTCTGTCTGTAGAGACTATAGGCTGGCACGAACGTACCGCTGTGCTATCAGGAAGGGGTACCTGCTGCTGGCAGAGAAGCTCTTTGCATGTGCAGATTGGAAATCACGTTTGAGGATTCTCAAAAGTGATTTCCATGAAAGGATACCTGGTGTCAGAGCAGCTGTTTGCACGTGTTGTTTGCATGCCGCAACGCATTCCCAACCCGCAACCCCTAACTTTCTCCACCCAACATTCCTTCCTCTCCCACTCTGTCTCCCCCTCCCTCTACTTCCCCCCAATTCTCCCCTGTCCGCCCAATATCTTGAGTGACCTGCTGCTGCCTACATTAACTCCTCCCCGCCCATCAACCCCCCCTAACAATGCGTGCGTCCGCGGCCCACAGGGCTCTACGCGCCAACTATCTGATGGGCACGCTGCCAGCGAGCATCACGCGGATCAAGTCGCTGGACCTCACGCAGAACTACTTCGCCAGCTCGCTGCCCTCAGGCACCTGGTCAACTGCATGGGACACTCAGCTCCGCGTTGCATGTGGTCACTCAGCATCAGTTCTTCCATCTGTACGACTGCCTGCCTGCTCTTGCACCGTTTCTGTTGTGGTCCCATGCAGTAAGTGCCCATGGTGATTTCCATCCATCAAGTGCTGTGCTGTGCCTAGGCGCGCGCACCATGATGCATGCGGCACTTTTGGCATTGGCATTCTACCGATGACCGTGTGTCCTCCACCCTCTTCTCTTCTCTTGTCTCGCCTCGTCTCGCAGCAACATGTGGAGCAACCTCTTCAACCATTGCCTCGATTCCTTCACCACGCACCTTCGAGCCTTGCCAGTGCTCGCCGACTTGTGAGTGACTCAATGAATGTGGCCAAGGGAAGGGGTGAGGGGAAGGGTGAGAGCATGATGGAATGGAACTGTCTTGTCTTTGTTTTTCCTCAGATTTTCTTCCGCAATTGTTCGCTCTCAGTCTCCCAACTTCTTGCCTCGTCATGCCTGCAGAATCTCTTCTTTTTTTTAGGCGCCTCAGTCGCCATGCATGCACGAGCCTTACCCTTTTCACGTGCTGCCTCCCATCCTCTCTGCTCCTCTCATCCTCTCTGCTCCTCTCATCGCCTCTCCTCCTCTCATCGTCTCTCCTCTCATTGCCTCTGCTCCTCTCATCGTCTGCTCCTCTCATCGTTGCATAGGCGTCTGCACTACAACTATTTCTACAGTGAAATCCCCTCCTATATCGTGGGCCTCCCGAAGATCATCGAGTTGTGAGTCTGCTGGGATGCGATGCGTAAGAGTCAACTGCAAGGCGCTCGGGGAAACCGTGCATGCGCCATATGGCAGTGTGCTGCTGGGATGGCAGTGTTCTGCTGGGATGGCAGTGTGCTGCTGGGATGGCAGTGTTCTGCTGGGATGGCAGTGTGCTGCTGGGATGGCAGTGTTCTGCTGGGATGGCAGTGTGCTGCTGGGATGGCAGGTCACCGTCTAGCCTGCTGGGATGGCAGGTCACCGTCTAGCCTGTTGGGATGACAGGTCACCGTCTAGCCTGCTGGGATGGCAGGTCACCGTCTAGCTTGCTGGGATGGCAGGTCACCGTCTAGCCTGCTGGGATGGCAGGTCACCGTCTAGCCTGCTGGGATGGCAGGTCACCGTCTAGCCTGCTGGGATGGCAGGTCACCGTCTAGCCTGCTGGGATGGCAGGTCACCGTCTAGCCTGCTGGGATGGCAGGTCACCGTCTAGCCTGCTGGGGATGTCATGCATGCACCATGTAGCTGCGTGTTGCGTTCATCGATCCCCTCTCCCGCTGCGCCGTCTTGTCTGGCTGCTCACTCCTTATACCGCCCCTCGTCTCCCTCCCCTCCCCTTCCCCCCCCCCCCTCCATTCTCCCCCGTCACCAGTGGCGCTGCCGGCAACTACCTCACGGGCTCTGTGCCTGCGCTGGGCCCCTTGCTGATCAGGTTGGATCTGCGCACCAACTACCTCACGGACATGCCATCGGCGGCCTACCAGTGGTGTGGCACCACCGCCAACTGCCTCGTCGCGCCCATAAAGTGCACCACCAGCAGCACGGCCCAGCGGCCCGCATCGGAGTATGCCATCTGCGGCAGCACCAACTCGCAGGGCACTTTGTGCGCGTCCACGCCGGGAGGGGTGTGCTCAATGGATGCGGGCGCACGTGTGAGTGCCGGCACGGTGAACACGCTGGCGCTGGCGTATCTCCCCCTGGCGTGCACGGTCGGGCCTCTCTACATGAACGCCGCTGACGGTCAGTGCTTGTGTTTTGAGTCGACTCAAAAAACACCCGCCGGCACTGTGAACACGATGGCGCTGCCGCATCTCCCCACCCCATGGCGTGCACGGCGGGGCCTCTCTACGTGAACGCCAGTGATGGCCAGTGCTCGTCATGTTTCGTCCCACGTGCTGGTGCTTCATCACATCCCTCCACCACCGTGCCCACAAACCTCCTTCTCTTGAAGTGTGGCGTTGCTGCTCTCAAGACATCCATGTGCATGCCAGCTGACCTCATCGGCAATGAGGTTGCGTTGCTGCTTGCGTTGCTGTGTGCGTTGCTGCGTGCGTTGGTGCTTGCGTTGCTGTGTGCGTTGCTGCGTGCGTTGGTGCTTGCGTTGTTGTGTGCGTTTCTGCATGCGTTTTCTGTGTGGTTTGCTGCGTGCGTTGCTGAGTGCTTTGCTGTGTGCGTTGCTGTGTGCGTAGCTGCGTGCGTTGCTGCGTGGGTTGCTTCGTGCGTTGCTGTGTGCGTAGCTGCGTGCGTTGCTGCGTGGGTTGCTTCGTGCGTTGCTGCGTGCGTTTCTGCGTGCGTTGCTGCGTGCGCTGCTACGTGCGCTGCTGCGCGCGTTGCTGCGCGCGTTGCTGCGCGCGTTGCTGCGTGCGTTGCTGCGTGCGTTGCTGCGTGCGATGCTGCATGGCATTGCTGCTCTCAAGGCATCCATGTGCGTGCGGGCTGACCTCAATGGCAATGTTGCTGCATTGCTGCGTGTGTGCATGCAGGTGGATGCCGTGGAACCTCCTGGATGGCAGCCTTGAGACCTATCTCAAAAACTTCTCCACGCTCACCAACTTGAACGCGCTGTCAGTATCACATCACTCACCCGCCATATTCACGGGCGTCTCATCTCCGCATGATGGGTGCCCCATGTCCCATGAGTCACCTGTTCGCCAGCTCGCTGCCCTCAGGCACCTGCTACATCGCCAACAACTGCCTCGCCGATGTGGGCAACTGCAACAGCTTCGGCCAGAGGGCCGCGTGCGCCATCTGTGACAGCACTGACGGCACCGAAACGCTGTGCGCGACAGCGGGGAAGGCGTGCGTGGCGAACGCGGACGCCAAGATAGCAGCGGCGCAGAAGAACTATCCGGATGAAGTGGCGCTGCTGTGCGCCTTCCCCACCATCACCCTGACCTCCGTTGATGGTCAGTGCCACCTCCCTCCCTGCCCACTCGTTCCCCATCCAAACTACCCCATCATCACCCCCCTCACCACTCCACCCTTGGTGCATTCTGCTCGACTGACCGTCCTTGCATCCCCGCAGGCAGTCGCTGCCACACTCGCCTTTCGCCGCTTCTTCCATCCCCACAGTCGCCTGCCGCCTCCTTCGCATGCGTTCCCTTTGTGCTGTGCCTCGCCACACCGCCATGCAGCCCGTCTTGCCATGCCATGCCATGCCATGCAGCGGCCGCAATGCAGAACATCAAGAGCGCGCTGGGAGTGACATTCACCACGTGGACCGCCACCGCCCCGTGCCGCTTGGCTGGCTCCACGGAGCCCATAGCTGTCGAGTGGAGCGGCGTCTTCTGCACCGACGCCGGCAAGGTTGCCAAAATGTGAGCCTACGACGTAACCTCGCTCTTTGACTCCTCGCCCTCACCCGCACCACGGCGTGTCTCGATCGTCCTCCTACTTCAATTTCCTTGTTGCATCCTCTGCTTCTCTGCTTGCACAACTGTGTGCCCCACTGATCCATCTGTCCTCTCGCCGTGCATCAGAGCCTTGGACAGCGCAAGCCTCAAGGGCTCACTGCATGCCGACATCTCTGCGCTCACCGCCCTCACCTGCCTGTGAGTTGCGCCTGCTTCCTTCTCATGCTGCTCTGCTTTGTCCGCGTTACCATGCCAGTGCAATCTGTTCTACAATCTTGGTCAGATGCCATGGGAGGTCCAAAAGCTTCATAGGGATGCCTTGTTGAGCCGTGGTGCATGTGGTCAAAGGTTCCAGTGCAATAGCTTCACCTTTGTCGCGCTCTGCTTGCCCCTGACTCACAGGTGGCTGTCGAGCAGTCTCCTCAACTACCGCCTCGATGCCTTCACCACCAACCTCCGAGCCTTGCCACTGCTGACAGACGTGTGAGTGGCATAGTGCTGGCAGACGTGTGAGTGGCACAGTGCTGGCAGATGTGTGAGTGGCACAGTGCTGGCAGACGTGTGAGTGGCACAGTGCTGGCAGACGTGTGAGTGGCACAGTGCTGGCAGACGTGTGAGCGGCACAGTGCTGGCAGACGTGTTGAGTATACTGAGCCAACGGGCGGAGTGTGCACGGTGGACGCATCTGCACCCGTGGCTGCCGGCACTCTGAGCAACTCAACGCAGCCCGTGCTCCCCAGGACGTGCGTGGGCGGACCCGTTGAGCCTGTCAAAGGGATGTCAGGTAGGCTACAGCGCTCTTGTCCTGCTGCTGATGCCTGCCTGACCTGTTGCTGGAAGGGCGGCGAGCATTGAGCAATGTGTGTGGGCGAGCAGCGCGCACGGCCTTTGGTAGGTGGGAGGGGTGTGTTGCGGTCTAGCGGCGTGGCCTGATGGGGCCGCTTTGCCGTGGGGTTGTGGGGCTCATGGTCCTTACGGCCCATCCCCCACTTGTTCCCATTCACACGCTCCTTGCCCACAACCCTCCCACTCCCCCCGCTGCCTGCCTCGTTGCACCTTTCCTCGCGTGCCCCCCTTCCAGCCATGCTGGCCCTCAAGTCGTCGATGGGAGTGAGTGTGAGCACGTGGGCAGCCACGGTGCCGTGCGCCATCAAGGGGCAGAGCACCGCAGTCACCACCTAGACTGGCGTGTTCTGTGACACCACGGGCAGTGTCGTCCACGTGTGAGTGTCATCCACGTGCGAGTGTCGTCCACGTGCGAGTGTCGTCCACGTGTGAGTGTCGTCCACGTGTGAGTGTCGTCCACGTGTGAGTGTCGTCCACGTGTGCATGTGAGTCGTCATGTTGGGCACGTGAGTCGTCATGTTGGGCACGTGAGTTGTCATGTTGGGCACGTGGTTTCGTGTGCTTGGGAAAGGTCCCTCGTCACAGTAAGTGAAGCCTTGTGAGCATGGCCCTGGAAGCGGCTGACTACACATCTCTTTCACCAATGTGCTTGCTGCATGTGGGCATCTGTAAACTGTGGCACTGCTGGCATACATGTATGCTGGTTCAGTTGTTTCTGTCCAGCTGTTTTCCATCTCGCTGCATGTGGATAACACTCATCTTCCCATGTGCCATTGCGTGTGTCCTGTCCTCCCAACACTTTGCCACAGAGCTCTGAACAGCGCAAAGCTCAAGGGCTCGCTTCCTTCGGAGGTCTCCACGCTCACAGCTCTCACGCGCATGTGAGTTGCGTGCAGTAGATGCACGTGATGATGCAGTGGATGCACGTGATGATGCAGTGCATGCGCATGATGATGTAGTGCATGCGCATGATGATGCAGAGGATAAACCATCCGTCAAGTGCCATGGCGAACCATGATGCACGCAGTTGGCATGTGCCCTCTACCGCCCATGACCTTGTGTCGCCCACCCTTGTCTTTCCCCGCGCAGCAACCTGTTCAGCAACCTCTTCTTCTACCGCATTGACTCCTTCACCACCAACCTTCGAGCCTTGCCAGTGCTGGCAGACGTGTGAGTGCTGGCAGACGTGTGAGTGCTGGCAGACGTGTGAGTGCGGGCACACGTGTGATTGCTGGCAGACGTGTGAGTGAATGCGAGCGTGCCCGGCCGGGGGGGGGGAGGGGTGAGAGCAGGAGACTGATGGTGCTGTCTTGCAAAAGGTTCTCGTTTTCTGAGGTGTCTTAGCCTTTATGCATGCATGAGCCTTGCCCCTTCCGTGTGCCGCCACTCATTTTCTCGTTATCCCCCATCGTCTCTGCATCTCTCGCAGCCGTCTGCACTACAACCACTTCTACGGTGAAATCCCCTCGTTTCTCGTGGGCCTCCCCAAGCTGACGGAGTTGTAAGTCTGCTGGGATGTGTTAGTGCCAGCTGCGGGGCGGTCGGGGAATATGGCAGTGCGCTGCTGGGATGGCATGCATGCACCTTGTTGCTGTGTTGTGTGTTGCCTTCATCACTTCCCTCTCCTGCCTCCTTATCTGGCTGCTCACTCCTTGCACCGCCTCTTGTCTCCCCCCTTCGTTTCCCCCCTCGCTGATCTCTCCTTTTTTTGATCACCAGTGGTGCTGCCGGCAACTACCTCACGGGCTCTGTGCCTGCGCTGGCCCCCGGGGTTGTCCGATTGGACCTGCGATCCAACTACCTCACCGACCTGCCAGCAGCAGCCTACCAGTGGTGCGGCGGCACGGCCAACTGCCTGGCCGATTCCTCCAAGTGCACCACCACCAGCACGGAGCAGCGCGCAGCAGCGGACTGTGCCATCTGCGGCAGCACCAAAGCGCAGGGCACTCTGTGCGCTGCCCCGCCGGGAGGGGTGTGTGCCGGGAATGCGTACGACGCGGTCGCTTCTGCCACCGTGAATGCCATCAGTCTGCCCACACTCCCCCTCTTCTACTTGGTCCCGCCACCCCCTATCAAGGAAAGCGCATGTAAGCATTGGCAGTGGGCTTTAGGCATGGGCTGTGGGCTGTGGGCACAGGCAGGGGGCAATACACGGCCCTTGTCATTTTGGGCTGTTGATGCCTTTCTTGTTGCGCGCATGGCTGCCAAGCCAGGAGTTAGGGTAGCGGAGGTGCAGTGTCCACAGTGCCCATGCTCCCCCTCCCCTCCGCTCCCTCACTGCCTTTATCTTTCCCCACCTGCCCCCTCCAGCCATGCTGGCTCTCAAGGCGTCGCTGGGGATGCCTCGGTGCCGTGCAAGATGGAGGGGCAGACCACCGGGGCGACAGTTTGGAGCAACGTGCTGAATGACAGCACTGGCACCGTCGTGAGCATGTGAATCGCCATGGTTGGCCTCACTTGCGTGCCACACATGAGCAGCATGCCACACCTGCTGTCACAGATCACGAAAGCAATGATCACACCGGCACAGCCTGGTGGTGGTAATGTTCTCTTATGTTCGTTTATGACACTGCTTCCATATCTGCTTGCTGTGACACCGCTTCCAAATCCTCTGCCTTGCTCATCTGCCCGTCTGCCGTTGCTTATGTGTGTGTCATCACGTTACCACCAACCAACTGTTCCGTGTGGTGCGCATCAGAGATCTGCGTAACTCAACGCTCAAGGGCTCACTTGCCTCGGAAGTCTCCACGCTCACAGCTCTCACACTCCTGTGAGTTGCCTCTGCTGCTCCCATGCTCCCACTCTCCCAGCTCTCACCTCTATCTGCTCTGAAAGAGATCGTTTTCTGCCGTCGTGTCGGCTGCTCGATGGTTCAAAGGATGGTCGCAACTCCGTGGACTTGCCTCCTTGCCCCTGTGCCGTGCCGTGCCGTGCTCAAGCCATGCTGCATTTTGTCAACGTGTTTGGTGCAACCATCACGCTTCCTTCCCCATGTGCCCGCCCCTCACAGCAACCTGCAGAGCAATCTCCTCAGCTACCGCCTCGATTCCTTCGCCTCTTCTCTGAGTGCCTTGCCACTGCTGGCAGACCTGTGAGTGGTAAAGTGTGGCGGGCAAGGGAGGAGGAGGGGAGGGAGCACATCTTGGTGTTGTCTTTCTTGTCTCGCCCCAGCTTTGCATCCATTCCCGTTTCCATTTTCACAGCCTCTGTCTCAAATGCTGCCACTCAAACCCACAACCATAAACCTGAAACCCCCACAGCCGCCTGCACTACAACTACTTGTACGGGGAGATCACCTCGTTTCTCGTCGGCCTCCCAAAAATCACGCAGTTGTAAGTGTGCTTCGAAGGCACATACCGGATGGCTGCGTGCTACTTTCGAGAATGCGTGTGCCTTGTTCATCGCCCTCCGATCTCTCCTGCCCTCGCCTTACGTCTCCCTTCGCTTCCTGCATTTCCCTGATCAAGCTCCTAGAAGAGACATGTACTGAGCATGAAGCTCCTGGGGCTGCCACATAAAGCCCAGCTGCGCAGTGCTCTTGGAGGTGCATGCCACCTCCTCCCTCGCGCTCCTGTCCTGTCTCCCCACTCCTTATGCCGTCTCCACTCATTCATCCGCCCGCTGCCCCCCCCCCCCCCCCCCCACCCCCCCCCCTTCTCTCTCCCTCCCTCGCCAGCGGTGCTGCCGGCAACTACCTGACAGGCTCTGTGCCGGCGCTTGCCTTGGGGCTGATCGTTCTGGACGTGCGGAGCAACTTCCTCGTAGACATGCCATTAGCCAACTACACGTGGTGCGGGGGCTCCAACAACTGCCTGCTCGCCCCCGCCAAGTGCACCTTCGGTGTGGCCGGCTCCACCCAGCGGGCAGCGGCCGACTGTGCCATGTGCGGGGCCAGCAACGCCACGGGGCCCTTGTGCTGGGGCACGGGGGGCGTGTGCGGGGTGGACTCCGCTGCACCCATCGCTGCTGGGGTGGTGAACGTGCTGGCGGGCGGGGCGCCCATGACGTGTGTGGGCGGGCCGCTGGTTACCATCAAAGAAAGCGCAGGTGAGCGCTGGGCCATGGCCGTGGGGTGGGCAGCGTGGGTGGGCAGTGTGGGGTGGGCAGTGTGGGGTGGGCAGTGTGGGTGGGTGGGTAGTGTGCGGAGAACAGGCAGTGTGTGGTGGGTGGGCAGTGTGCGGAGAACAGGCAGTGTGTGGTGGGTGGAGGGCGGCTGTCGCACCTATGCCTTATTTGTGCCTGGTTGCTCACCTTGGACCAATGTATCCGGACCTCCCATTAATTTCCCCCCTGTTCTCACACGACTACCCTCCAGTCGTATCGGCCCGCCCGCCCCACCGCACGCACGCACCACATCCCTCGCCTCTACCACCAGCCATGCTGGCACTCAAGTCGTAGCTCGGCGTCACGTTCACCACGTGGGCGGCGTCTATGCCGTGCACGCGCCAGGGCGCCACACCGCCGCCGTCGCTGCCCACGTGGACCAACGTACGCTATGACACCCCCGGCAATGTCGTGAGTATGTGAGTGCGCTGAGGGGACGCATGGGCATGCATGGCTGACTGGCAGCATTATCTGGGAAGCATGGGAGTGGTGCGGGCTTCGGGGCGTGAGAGAGAACAGGCAAAGCAGCAGATCTGGAAGCATTTTGAGTGTGTGGGGAAACGCTACAAGATCGGCTGTTGACCTTTCATGTGCCAGCACATTTCCATATGTTCCTCAGTATCATGCTTCTTACTCTACCTAGCCGCCGTTTTGCATGGCAGTGATTGAACAATACGGGGCTCTGAGGAAGCATCCCTGCTGACATCTCCAAGCTCACTGCCCTCACCTACCTGTGAGTGCATCTCGCCCCTCACCTACCCGTGAGTGCATCTCACCCCTCACCTACCTGTGAGTGCATCTCGCCCCTCACCTCACCTATCTGTGATTTGAAATCCAGCAGTCTATGGGTAGCCAAGAAACTCTGCCCGCTTCACCAAGGCTCCTGCAAGGCCTTAACCTCACTGCACTGCACCCTTTCTCTGCTCCTCCCACCCTCACTTACCTGCTATCGCCCACCCTCACAACGTGTTACGGCCCTCTTCTGTGTCCGCCCCTCGCCTTGCTCTGTGCGCCCCTCGCCCCCTCGCCCCCCGGCGGCAGCTCGCTGTCCAAGCAGCTCTTCCTGGCGCCGCTCACCAACTTCACGTCCAACCTGCTACCATTCACCGTGCTCAAGGAGCTGTGAGCCATCAATAGCTTGCTTCATGTGCTCTTCTCCCACCGTTGCTCCTTTCATCTCTTCCCTTCCTATCCTCCCCTCTCTCTCTGCCTGCTTTCCCCGTGTGGGTCCTGTCCTCCCTTCTCGTCTAGCCCGCCTCACACACATCCTTCGCCTCCTCTACTGCCTCTTGCCCATCACCGCCATGTTGCCCGTCACCGCCCTCTTGCACGTCACCGCCCGGCCCCCACCGCCCTCTTGTCCCCACAGATACCTGCAGTACAACTGGCTCTATGGCCCCGTGCCCACTGCACTGCTCAACCTGCCCGCGCTCTCCGTGCTGTGAGTCCAATCCAAACTCACATTTCTCACTCGCGTCCGCATTTGTCTTTCCACGCCATTTCATAAGTCGCCAACCACACACCTCCTTCCCTTTTGCACATTCCTCACCCCCTATCGAGCGCTCTCAAAAGTGAACACAAGTTCTCAACTCAAGTTTCACCTCCCGTCTCACCACTGGTCTCCAATCTCACTGCGTTGCTGCATCCCTCCTCCCTGCAGTGGCCTGGCGTACAACTACCTGAGCGGCAGCTTCCCAGCGTCCACTGCCCTGTCAAGCCTAGACGTGCGCAGCAACTTCTTGTATGCCATGACCCTCAAGTGGTGTGATGGCGCCACCAACTGCCTCGCCACGCCTGCTGTGTGCGCCATGGGAGGGGAAGGCACCACCCAGCGCCCCGCACCCGACTGTGCCTTCTGCGCCTCCCCCGCCGCGCAGCCTGCTTCAGCCTGAGTGTCTGCTTTCCCGACTCTGCTGCCGCGGCAGCCACAGGGACGCCCAACCTTGCGGGGTCGCCCACACTGCAGATGGTGTGCGGTGGCATCCCCATCGATGCTGCTGACGGTGAGCGCACCCACACACGCACTGAGAGAGGCGCAACCACGCATGGAGAAGCATCCACGTTCCCACAGCCACCATATGCGCGGCACCCCTGCTTGCCACATCACTTGTACCCTGCTAGCCTCTCACTCTCACCTGCCCTCGCCTCGCTTCAATCCCATGCCTACTGTCTGTCAACCCCGCACCCTGCCTCGTCCTTCCCTCGTCTCAATGCGTCTCCTCCCCCTGCCCCACCAACGGCGGTGCTGCTGGCGCTCAAGTCGTCGCTGGGCGTAACGTTGAGCAACTGGAACGCGGCGGCGCTGTGCATGCTGGAGGGGCAAATGCTGCTGCCCGCGCAGTGGGGTGATGTGCGCTGCACACCAAACGGCAAAGTCACAAGCATGTGAGTGGGGACGGGGCGGGGAAAGCGAGGCGAGGCGCCGGGGTGAGTGGGTGAGGTGCAGCTTGCTTGCAAGAGGTGCTTGGAGCATGTGCCACGTGGGTGCTGGTGCTGCTCTTTCCTCATGCATGCAAACACGTCGCAACGATTACATGCAGTTGCAGCTTGCAGGAGCGTTAAGCAATACGGAGAGGGAGCACGTGCAGTGTGGGTGTTGATGCTGCTCTTGTGACTGCTACCCCACTCTCTTGACTCTCTCATTCACCCCGTGCCTCTCACCCATCTCCTTGCCCTCATTGCTGTGCAGTGCGCTCACACGGCAGAAGCTGCAGGGCTCCATTCATGCGGACATCTCCAAGCTCACCACACTCATATACCTGTAAGCCCTGCCCACTCACACGCCATCTGCACACGTCAGAAGAGCATAGTGAGAGTGTGAGTGGTACACCTTCGCTCAGTGAGCTGTTCCTCTGTAAGGCGAGAGAGCCATCCACACTGTTCCCTTCGCCCTCGTCCTCACCCCCCTTGTCGCCCTCTTCCTTCCGCCCCCCTATGCTACTTGTCTTCCCCGCAGCGACCTGGGCTACAATCTCTTCCAGGGCCGCCTCGACTTCTTTGCCGCACCGCTCAAGCCCCTCACCACCCTCAAGGCGCTCTAAGCCCCTCACCACCCTCAAGGCGCTGTAAGCCCCTCACCACCCTCAAGGCGCTGTAAGCCCCACCTGCCCCTCCTTCTCCGCCCTCCCTCCAACCCCCCCCTCCCAACTGCATGCCATGATTCGCCAACCTGTGCAACTCCACTCACTCGCACTCCATGCTTGCACGCCATCATCACCCCCATATTTCTCCTCGCTCACTTGGACTCCCTCCTTTCCCCCCTCCCGCCTCCCATGGTAGCTTCTTCCACTACAACTATCTCTGTGGCTCCATTCCCTCCGCCAACGCCACTCTGCCGCAACTCACCTCACGGTAGGCCAACCCAGCAGCACCACTCTTAACTACACTTAGCGTCGCTGATGCAGCAGCAGCAGTTGTCCCCAGTTCCCTGAGCCTGGATGCGCATCACCAGAACAAGTGCCAATCTTTCTCATGCCCTAACCGTTCCTCTCTTTGTCTCCTGGTAATCCTTTAACGCGGGGTTGGGTACAGGCACAAACGATAATATTAATCAGCTTGGTAATCTGCCACCCTTACATTCCCTTTCCCGTTCCTCTCTTTTTCTCTCTCTCTCTTCCACCCTCTTTGCCTTTTGCATTCCACAGTAGCATCAACAATCTTGGATGTCGGTAAGTCGTGACCTCCTCTCATCTTTCCTCCCCACTTCTTTGTTCCGTGTCTCCCCCAACCTAATGTGTGCAGCAACCTCTCCTCTTCAGCACTGGCTGGCAGCATGCACGCCGACATCTCCAAGCTCACCGCCCTCACCTACCTGTCAGTGCCCCCACCTACTTGTTAGTGCCCCCACCTACCTGCCATTGCCCTCACCTCCCTCTCAATGCCCCGACCTACTTGCCATTGACCCCCACCTCTTGCATGCTGCTTTTGCCACCGCGTGCTGTATACCTTGTTCACCCGCTTGCCTTGCCCCTCCCTCCTATCATGCCTTGCACCCACTCCCACCGCCCCTGCAGCGGCCTCTTTAACGACCTCCTGCGCGCCATTTGTTGACGTCCTCTCGCCCTGCCCCCCCTTCTTTTCATGCCCTCCACGGTCCACCCACTCCCACCGCCCCTGCAGAGACTTCTCCAACAACCTACTGCGCACACCCCTGGCAGCCTTCGCCTCCTCCTTCTCCGCCGTCAAGACGCTCCAGCAGCTGTCAGTGCTGCCCCGCTCACCCACACCGCCCTTGCCTCGCCCATGCCTCTTGGATACTCCCTGCTCTCACTCGTGTTGCTCTCACTGGTGTTGCTCTCACTGATCCTCCTCAGTCGTTTCTCTCGCACTCGTTGTGTCCAGCAGCACACACACACACCATGTACAGCCACCCATGCGCTGCATGCTGCCACCATGCCTATCAGTACGCGCTCTGCATTCAAGTCTGCATCTTTCCTTCTTGCCTTCTCCCTTTCCCATCCCCCACCCAGGCGCCTCAACAACAACTGGTTCACGGGCTCTCTGCCTCAGACCCTCATGTCCCTTTCCGCCCTCACTCTGCTGTAAGGCTCCACAATGCATGCACGCTTGATGAGCCAGTGTCATCATTTCAGACGAGCATCCATGCACTCACGATATTGTGCATCAGCCACCACAAGTTGTTTTACACCACACTCACTTTTCCTCTGCTTCTTCTCCCCTTCCTCCTCCCTTCTCCCCCTTTCCTTCCCCCTCCTCTCCCCCTCCCCTTCCCTCCTCCCCCACCCCCCACCCGCACCTACTGACTCCCCTTACTGGCGTGGCAAGGACGTGCATGCGAACGCACTGACGGGGTCATTAACCACCATATCATCGGTGCTGCGCTCGCTCCTCCTGCAAGACAACTTCCTGGCCGGCAACTTCACAGCGGCGGCGCTCACCACGTGTGACGCCAGCATCAACTGCATGACTGGTGGCACCGCCGACTGCAACGCCAACAGCACCGCTCAGAGGGCCGCTGCTGCGTGCGCCATCTGTGACAGCGCGGACGCGCAGGGGCTGCTGTGCTGGGGCGGCACATGCGTGCCCAACGTGACGGCCACCACGGCCCACCGTGATGGGCTGGACCTGCCGCCCATGTCCTGTGCTGGTGCGTCTCCTCCTCCTGCCCCTTGATGCTTCCCATCCCCGCGCTGTCAGCTTGAAGCTCGTTCACTTCACAGTGGCCTTCCCACCTCACCCCTGTGCACCCAACCCACAATCCTGCTCGCTGCCGCCTGAACGCCTTTGAATGCCTCTGAATGCCTCTGAATGCCTCTGAATGCCTCTGAATGCCTCTGATTGCCTCTGATTGCCCCTGAATGCTTCTGACTGCCTCTGAATGTCTCTGAATGCCTCTGAATGCCTATGACTGGTGTGTGCTGCAGGGGCTCCGGTGGTGTACATGAGCGCTGCTGATGGTGAGAGTGCCTTGCCTCACGCCGCCATGCTGCCTGCGCTTCATGTTGATGTGCCCATTCCCATGCCAGTCGCTGCTTGCACTGCCCAGCTCTGCCAGTTGCCATGTGCTCCTCCTCACTCATATAACCACTCGCTATCCACCATCCCATGCCCCACCAGGCAGCATGCCACCTCCCCCAATGCCAGGCTGCATGCCACCTCCCTCCATGCCAGGCAGCATACCACCTCCTTGTTGGTGTAAGGGCCTAATAAACTCAAGCTATTAAGACTTTATCAAACTTAAAACCTCTCCTCGGGGACACCTCCAAGGGTCCTTGGGTGCCTGGTACAAGACCAGCCCCTATCCTCGGGTCCGAGTTTGTAGAGAGAGGGATCAAGAGGGACTTAGTCAAAACAGCAAGAGTACCTTGAACGTCGCGCAGCGTATCGTGCAGACCGTCAATCGGATTAAGCTGAAAATTTCCTATATCGAAGCTCGCTCCAAGAGCTTTAAAATGAACCAAGTTGCCTCGCGAAAAGTTCTGCCATTACGAAGTTATGGCTCGGACCGCGTTTGCCTAGCGTTGGAGTGCTAGCGTACTAGCGTTGACTCGGGTAGCATTCCGCCGTCGCACCGCGTAGAAACGAAATTCCAGGAAGGGAGGAATTCGCTTGAATCAAATTGACTATATCCAGGTACAAACAGAGAAGGAATAAAAAGTTCTAGCTAGCAAGGACCTTGGGAATGAACCTGGGAACAACCAGGGATGATCCCAAATAATTCCAAGCAACAAAACCAACCTGGCTAGACAAAACAGCAGGTGGTAGGTTGGTAAACAACCTCTGGTTCTGTTTTTCCAACCTGGGAAAACAACAACCAGGTTCAGGTCCTAAACACAGAACCTGTTTCGTCTTTTGCCCAACCAGCCAAAAGCTGGTTCCGCTGGTTTCCCCTGGCCCTGTAGCATGCAGATACAGACAAACAACATCCAACCTGTTGGTGTAAGGGCCTAATAAACTCAAGCTATTAAGACTTTATCAAACTTAAAACCTCTCCTCGGGGTCACCTCGAAGGGTCCTTGGATGCCTGGTACAAGACCAGCCCCTATCCTCGGGTCCGAGTTTGTAGAGAGAGGGATCAAGAGGGACTTTGTCAAAACAGCAAGAGTACCTTGAACGTCGCGCAGCGTATCGTGCAGACCGTCAATCGGATTAAGCTGAAAATTTCCTATATCAAAGCTCGCTCCAAGAGCTTTAAAATGAACCAAGTTGCCTCGCGAAAAGTTCTGCCATTACGAAGTTATGGCTCGGACAGCGTTTGCCTAGTGTTGGAGTGCTAGCGTACTAGCGTTGACTCAGGTAGCATTCCGCCGTCGCACCGCGTAGAAACGAAATTCCAGGAAGGGAGGAATTCGCTTGAATCAAATTGACTATATCCAGGTACAAACAGAGAAGGAATAAATAGTTCTAGCTAGCAAGGACCTTGGGAATGAACCTGGGAACAACCAGGGATGATCCCAAATAATTCCAAGCAACAGAACCAACCTGGCTAGACAAAACAGCAGGTGGTAGGTTGGTAAACAACCTCTGGTTCTGTTTTTCCAACCTGGGAAAACAACAACCAGGTTCAGGTCCTCAACACAGAACCTGTTTCGTCTTTGCCCAACCAGCCAAAAGCTGGTTCCGCTGGTTTCCCCTGGCCCTGTAGCATGCAGATACAGACAAACAACATCCAACCTTCACCTAAATTGTACCCCTATAGTGCCTGCCCTGCTACACTATAGTCAACCAAACAAAACAGTACAATTTCGAGTTGGATAGAACTGAATCTGCACAATCAATTCAACCGAACCGCAAAGCTTCCAACTTGGGTTCCTTTGCGAGCTCGTCCTTTCTGCTTGTGCTGTTCATAGCGCGTAGAATGTTGTGCCGAAGCGCACAACGCGCGAGTACCTGCAAATGCTTCAAGCGAAAATCGCGAAAGCAAACAAACACACGAACATTCCATTCACACCCAAATGCATTCGCACACGCATACTCGTACAAACAGACGGCAGGATGTCGTGCAATGTGAATTTGCACCCAACACACTCCCCCTCAGCCTGCCGGCTGCATCCCCATCATTCCATGCTAGTTCATGCTCATTCCACTCATGCGCACACAACGCCAATGTGGCTCATCCGCAAGCCTCTTGGTGAGGAAGTCTGCTGGCTGCTGGTGAGTCTTGATGTAGATCGGATTCACCGTCCCCCTCTTCACCTCCTTACGCAGCCAGTGTCACTTGATACGCATGTGCTTGTTCAGCCCATGAAGCACAGCGTTCCTGGCCATCCCAAGAGCCCCCTTGCTATCACAAAACAGCGGCGTAGCAACCTTCTGCTCATGGCCAATCTCCTCTAACAGCCTCCTCAGCCAAATCACTTCCTTCACCCCATGGAACATCGCCATGTACTCTGATTCCACGGAAGAGAGTGCCGTCTCCGTCTGCTTCTTTGACCTCCAACTAACAGGTCCTCCCCCAACTACGCAGATGTATCCTCCTACAGATGAGGAATCCTCCTTCTCAGAGGCCCACGTAGCATCAGTAAAGCAAGTGAGAAACAGCTTGCCTTCTCCAAGCCGCTTTCCCATTTCTTTCAGCACCTCAACCCCTTTCTGCTTCACCTGTGCAGATGCGGAGTATTGAACTCCAATGCTTGGGTGAGAGTTCAGATACTTCACCACACGCTCAGCTGCATCCACCTGCTCCTCTGATGGATTCTGCACCACCCTAGCCAGCTGCCCAACCGAGAAAGAGATGTCGGGCCTTGTGTGAACTGCTGCATACAAGAGGCTGCCCACCAAGGACTGAAATTGCTGCTGCTCCTCGGCTTCAACCCCTTCATCCTCTGCAGCTTTCACAAGCTTGAATTCTGCTGGCAGGGGAGTTGCAACTTTGCGCTCATTCTCAATCCCATACTTCTCCCCAGCTCTTTGATGAACTTCTTCTGGTGCAGCTTCAACCACCTGTGATCCAGATCCCTCTCCACGTGCATCCCGAGGTAGTACTTTACCTCCCCAAGGTTCTTGCACTTGAAGTTCTCCATCAGCTGCTGCTGCACATTCTGGATCTCCTTCATGCTGCTGCTAAAGAGAAGAATGTCGTCCACATAGACCAGAAACAGCACCAGCTTCTCCCCCTCCCCCTTGAGAAAGAGGCTCTCATCACAGCTGCTGGTCCTGAATCCCATCTCCTCTAAAACAGCTGCCAACTTCTGGTACCAGCAGCGTGGCGCCTGCTTCAAGCCGTAGATTGACTTTTTCAGCTTGCACACCCTGCCTGTACCATCCTCATACCCAGGCGGCTGCGTCATGTACACATCCTCCTCTAAAATCCCATTGAGGAATGCCGTTGATATATCCATCTGAATGATGAATTTCCCACTAACAGTTGCATCTGCCAACAAGACACGAACAAGAGGGGGTTTGGCAGTGGGAGCAAAAATCTCATTGAAGTCCCGCTTCTCCTTCTGCATAAACCCCTTAGCCACCAGCCTACTCTTGTAGATGGTGACCCGTCCCTTGTCATCGGTCTTGATCCTTAGCACCCACTTGCACTGTACAGCTTTCTTCCCATCGGGCAGCACCACCAGATCCCATGTCCCATTCTCTAGTAGGCTCTGGTACTCAGCATCCCTAGAAACCAGCCACTTCTCCCTATCTGGTCCAGCTAATGCCTCCTCCATGCTAGCTGGTTCCTCTGGTGCAGGGGCAAGAAAACAGTAGGCAGGTTCATCCTCCTCATCCGGGTCATAGCCATGAGGTAGAATCAGCAATGCCTCCTCTGTCCCAAGCTGCTGCTCTGCTACATCAGCTCCTGCAGTCAACTTCTTAGTAGCCATACGAGTACGTCCTGGCCTGGAGACGGGTGTCTCCCATCCCTTCATAACAACACTCTTCGGCTTCTTAGTTTTCCCCTGCTGCTGCTCTCCTCCCTTGGATCCAGCAGCTCCACTAGTGCTAGTCTCCACATCATTTTTTCCACCAGCAGATGCCTCCTGTACCTTCTCTCCATCACCACCCTCTGCAGCTACCTGCTCTCCCTCCTCCCACACACTAGGAGTCATGTCCAGCTGCATGGTGATCTGCTCCATTTGCTGGGACACCCTGGCCTCCGGCTGTTTCTCCCAGCTCCCATACATCATGCCCTCAACAAACTTCACATCCCTGCTGTCAAACAACACACCCTTGGATGGTTCCCACAGCAGCCATCCCTTGCTCTCAGCAGCCAGCCCCAAATGCACACACCAGATTGCACTTGCCCCCAACTTACTGCGGTAGGTCTTGGGGACGTGGGCGACTGCCATGCAACCGAACACCCTCAGCATGTCCACTGGCGGCTTCCTCCCAAGCCACCTCTCCAACAGCACCCACGAGTCATCCCCAACCTTTGTGAGTACCCTGTTCCTAGCGACGGTAGCGTGCCGAACAGCATGGGGCCACATCGAGTTGCCCAGCCCAGATTCTATGAGCAGCGCCCTAGCTGTCTTCAGAATTGTCCGGTTCGCCCGTTCTGCTACACCGTTAGACTGTGGGGTGTAAGCCGTGGTCAGCTCCCTCTGGATGCCCTGCTTCTTGAGCCAGGCCGTCATCTCAGCTCCAAGGAACTCACCACCCCGATCTGTCCTAATCCGCTTCACCACACACTCCGCTTGCTTCTCCACGAATGGCAGCCAATCATCCCGTATCGTAGAGGCGGCGTGGTCCTTTTGCTTCAGCGGATATGCCCACATAAGCCTGCTCCAATCATCCACTATGGTCAGAAAGTACCGCTTCCCCTTGTGCCCCTGAACCGGCAGCGGCCCCACCAAGTCCATGTGGACCAGCTCCAATGGCTTCTTGCTCCTGCCAGCCACACTATGGAAGGGGAAACGGGTAAACTTTGAGAGCAAACAGATTTCACAATTCTCATCAGATGGCTGTCCGTTCAGCTTCAGACCCTTAACGGCTCCATCTTTCTCCAACTGCTTCAACAAGGGCA